TACTATGTGGCATCATGTTCTGATGAATATTTTGTATCATCATGTCCTGACGAATGTTTTGTGGCGTCTTGTCCTCATGAACGTTTTGCGCCATCATGTCATGATGAATGTGTTGTGGCATCATGTTCTGATAAATACTTCAAGTCATCACGTCCTGATGAATGTTTTGTGACATCATATCATGGTGAATGTGTTGTGGCATCATGTCCTGATGAATATTTAGCGTCATCACGTCATGATCGCTACATGGGGTAATACTGTCATCTGGAGGCATGTGTTGGCTTTAAGCGAATGTGTCACATTCAAAAATACTGAGGCAAGTATCAGATATGATGAAAAATCTCACTTATAATTGTTGGCATACTTTTAAGTGTAAAGGACCGCTCTCGGCAAGACAATTTCTCTATTTAACAAGCATGCTTCTCAATGCATTACTGTTTGATTCCATCATCGTACCTTGCACAACACCACACACTTGAGAGCTTGCGCAATTGAGAGCCAGTTGGCGGCCGTTATATCTGGTAATCGTGCTCACGATCGTCATATGTGAAAGACTCTGCAACAACATTTTTTCTTGGTCTTGATCGCCACAAGGTCAGTGAAGAAACAGGACATGAAAAACGTTATTAATATGTCGTGGATACCTGGGTGACCTTGAAATGGTCTGCCGGAAATAGTCTGCCCGTCTCGGCAGGCGTTGAGCTCAGAAACTAGATGGGCTTATGTCTTAAGAAGCGCAGGGCTGTGAACTACATGCGACTACACCGAACGACCGTAAAGCTGGCTATTTCGGGTCAAAACATCGCACGTTTTTTGGACTTCCTCCTTTAATTCAGCGTTTCACCTGGCCTGTAGCCGGCGTTCCTTTTTCTCACCATGGGTTTAACATGGAGCCCGTCGGGGGAGCGAAACAAGCATTGGTAAACGGCCGGCAGTAAGCTCAATGGCTGTTTTCGGTCGTGACTCTTTGTGATGAGAGATGGATTTGTCAGCGGGTAAATATGGCTGTATTTTGATGATGAGTGTTGATGATACAAGCGAGTTGAGGTGTATTACCCACTTTTTCAGACCTGCGTTTAGCATTAAACCTTGCAATGTTGGTCGTCGCAGTACGCATGAAGTTAACTCCAGGGTGGGGATGGGAGTGTGTGCCAGGCACAGCCCCATCCGGTTTTACGGAGACAACCCCCAAGCTTCAGCATATCATCAGATTCGGGCTGATTGAGTTGGCTATCACGTCAAGTTACTGACTTCCTACCTTGTTCTCAAAAACCCGCGATGGAAGTGTGTAAAGTGGGCACTCTATGAGCTTCAGCGAATACCGGATCGTCTCATCTGGTAATTTTTCAGGCGTCAAATGGTTACATAATACATGTTGTCAACATCCGTGCCTTAGCGTACCGTGTAACAATCACTATAATAAGTATATAAATTACCAAAAAGTAGGTTATCAAGCCGTTATATTGTGAAATAAGTGGCTGGTGCACATCAATGGTGACCGAGTTAGCAGACCTCTTTACGCCGTTCGCATAGGCAGTGATATCTGCGAATGAAATATCATCTCAGGTAAAAGTCATGGCAGCTTATGGAATGATCTTGGCAAACCTTACTGTAACCCTTGAAACCCACTAAATGACAGTACATGCTAAACGGAATCTGCTGTACGATACTAACATATCAAAGCTTACTTAGATAACGAAAACTTGTTACTTGACCCCGTTTGACCAAACAGGTTAACCATAACAGATCGCTGGAAATTAGTCCACCTGGCGTTCTCTTGCCCCTCCCCTAAAATAAATGGATTGAGGAGCCGTCCATAACTCAAGTTATTTATTTCTAGCTATTTTTCAATTCCCCTGATTATGGGCTGGTTATGTTGGTGAACCCCCACCCCTCCTCCGTCCTGGTTACGATGCATTAACCCCCGCCGTGGTTCGTTGTTCCATAGCGCGGACTGATGGTAGGTCGATGCGATAAGATGCCAGTGGGTTGGTCTCTACGAGGTCTCGTAATTATTGATCAGCTGCGTGCTGCTAGATGAAAAATTGGCCCTATTAGAGTAGTTCAAAGGCCACATTTCTTTCGAAAATGAAACTTTTTCAGCATTGCATGTTTATATGCATGAGACCATAGCGATACAAAATAAAAACAGACGTGTTCTTCGTTCGGTTTTAAGTACTATGGTATGCAATTTTAAGTGTTAATGGTAAAACACGCGCGATGGATGTCCCATAGGCTATTGAAAATTTGTGTGCCATTGCACAAAATGTTGGAGGAGTAGCCCCAAAAAGTCTTACGGAGTGGGGTCGGATTGACCCCACTCCTTCTCAAGGCAAGGGTCAAATGCCGCCTTTTTGCATTTTTCACTTATTGTGAGATCAGAGGCATGCAATTTGGTCCGGCATGCCAGTTTTCTCCGAATCCTTCTGAAAAGCTCAGAATTTGTGTTTGAAGTAGCCGCTCCTGCGGGAGTTCTCTCACTGGACTCACTGCTCACCACTGTGACAGCAATACGTTTCATTTGCACTGTTTTTCCAACGTGTATGTTTGCAAAACACTTATGTGTCTAAATGTTTGTGTAAAAAAATGCTACGAAAGCTTGAAACACTTTGTTAAGACAAAATGGTATGCAAACATGAAGATATTATCCCGCGAAGTCAACGAAATGTCATACTATGGCTTTGATTTCCCCTTATGGCGCCTTACACAGTGGTCCTTTTCGAGGCGCACTTGGCTTTGGAATGGGTGTGCCACATCGTCCATAAATATGCGCAGGTTCGAACTTCAATCAATGTGCTTTTTGGTGATAGGTCCTCGCCGCCCGCTGGGCCAGTTACAAACGCTCTTTTATTCGCACTAGTAGAGGTGCCACGGCGCTTGTCATGACGACAGCGATCGTGAAAACTCCGGGAAGAAGTGTGCTTCTGTTACAAACCGTTGGCAGTGTAACTTGGACACGGAAATGATTAAAGTTGATATCCTTCTTATGTTCTGACGGTGCTGCGCGGCACTACGCGGTGCTGTTACCACGCTGACTGATCCTGAGGTTTCATCAGAGTATGTTTTTGGAATATGCCCCGAATGTGGGACACTCCGTTTAAGTGCAACGTCCAAAAAAGGTGACGCACGTTTGGCCACCTCTGTATGATCTTTGATCCACCTCTGTATGAAGCAGGACGGCACGGATTATTATTTTGAAAATTGTCATATATCCATCTCGAACTTCACGAATTTATACTAAAGGGACACCGAACGGGCAGACAAATTCCAGGATTTGACTAGACAGGATGGAGCATTGGGTATTGGACGACTTACACCAGTTGTGTAAACACTAAATTTGACCAATGATTGCTTGGAAGTCTTAATGCCTTTTCGGAGGTGGTAGAATGCGAGCCGATGTAATGACGGTCGTTGGTGTCAACCTATGGCATAGCAAGCTTTGCCCTGAAACTTGGCGCATGGTGAGAAAGGAACATTGCAGCCGTTGGGAACACGGGTCATTGGGGGATTGGGCGATTGCACGCCGCTGGCACTAACCGCTGCGGCGCGCAGACGTACTTGTACAGCAATCAACTACAAGAGCAGCTGGAATGTCAGCGTCGTCCTAAAGACACAGTGGTGACGTTTAAACATTCATGAGAAGTTACATTGGAGCACATAGCACGTATGTGTGGAGTGGGAGCTTGGATACACTTGCTAATGATGCAAGGGGTTAAGCGCTAATTTTGTATGGAATAATGGGGGCTACCTCGCATATTGGCCACTTAAAGACGCATAAGTAAAAGAGAGAAAGCAGCTAGCAGCCTGATAGACATCCAGGAAAGAAAGGAATGAAGCCGTGACATGAAGAGAAGGGGCGTGCGCGTCTGTCCCCGTATTTACACGCAGCGGTAATTAACAGATTGGAAGACATTTGAATGCCAAACTGGTCAACAGTAAACAAAAGCAAGAACAGAAGATACTACCGGACGGGGGGAGTAATTCGGCAGAATGCTGAAGCCAAGCAAAACACGCCTTGTTGATAACTGGGCACTGCGAACAATTCAAACAGGCAAAATATGCGATATAGTTAGGGCAAAGAGTTTCGAAACGAGCATTTTGCGCATCATTAAACAACAGGCATTACTGCATTACAAAGCTGAAACTAATTCAAACTAATCTAACACTAACGACGATACAATACACGCCATCGGCAAAACTAAATGCCGCCCGACTGTTGATGCATATCCATGCCCTGTGCAATATAGCCATCTTGAGTTAGGTGCGTTGGTATCTAGTACGTCATCGACTACTATTAGGCGTTTCTAAAAAGGTTTTCTACGTGAGGCTCTTAAGATGTTTAAGCCAACACATGAACAGTCACGTGAAACTTTGCAATCTGAAACGTTTAGAAATATCGGATTAAGTGAACATTACGAAGTCACACTTTCCCTGCTGCATCCTAAAATCCTTAAATTTGATGTGTTTTTGATCGGATATCTACATTGCAATCTATCCATTGGGATCACTGGCACAAATTTCACATTATGGTACAACAGACAGAACTACAAAGCGTCTGGATGTCTCTTTCAAGCGTGAGTTCTGGTTCGAGCACTGGCAGGACAGGCGCACCAGCTGACATGAATTAGCATGGAAGCCAAACTGTCGTAAGCAGGTGTGCGGATGTGCTGTTGAGCGCATTTACTTTTGACAACGATCCATCGATTGCGACGCTGCAAATAATAACAAACAACGCAAAGCAGTGTTAAATTTGCGCTTACTAAAAAAAAAACAAAGGTCGCGATGGCCCCTGAAGTCGCTCGGCCGCTGCGAGATTGGGCTCGGCCACATTCCGCACCGGTCGCCCGGGGCCATGCCACGGCCCAGGGGTCATGCAGGGCCGCCTGGTGCCCGCTAGGGCGCGGGCCGCAGGCGAGGCTACTGCTGGGACGCGCACTACTGGGGCTGCTAGGGCGCGCACTACGCGGTGGGCGTGGCCAACATGCGAGGACGGCCCCCACCTTTTCGCGGTATTGCCTGCGCGACGAGTCCAGGCTCTGTATGAGACTGGTGGCGTGGCCCAGGAACATGGCGTAGCAGGTGGCGCCGCTGACCATGGACAACATGGTCAGCCACATGTCCGTGAGGGACTGGGGCGGAAACCGGCCGTAACCTATACACAGCATGTGTGACATGGCCTTGAACAGGGCCCAGGAGTACTGCTCCAGCCAATAGGCGCCCTGCAAGCAGGAAAGAGGCCAGTGTCAGGCCGGCCGCTACCTTGTCCCGGTAGTGGCGACGCGACGAGTCCAGTGACTGGATCAGGTTGGTCGTGTGGCCGATGAAGAGCGCGTAGCACGTAGCGCCGCAGATCATCGACAACATGGTGATCCATAGGTCGGCCAGAGACTGGGGCGGGAACCGGCCGTAGCCTATACACAGCATGTGCGACATGGCCTTGAACAGAGCCCAAGAGTACTGCTCGAACCAGTCCGACTCCTGGGGGAACAGCACGGTCCATGGTCAGCACTGGTGGCCAGTCGAGAGACGCACACTGGGCTATCCTCTGCCGACAAAGGTCAACGCAGGCGACACGGAGCAGGCTGGACAGGCTGGCACACGTCCGGCTGTGGGCAGCTCATGCTGCTGGGACACGGCTGAGGTACGGCATATGGCTCATGCTGCTGAGGCACGGCTAGGCACGGCTAGGCACGGCAGATGGCTTGCCCGCACAATCGCACTTATCTCAGAAACACCAGAATACCTTCGGTATCTTTGGAAACTCTGTGTCAATGACAGCGGATTGTCGTGAAGAAGGGTAATTGACCAAAACAGTTGTGCAATCAATTAAACAAATGTGGTCGTAACAGTCGCAAAAGTTCCTTCACATCCACAAACGCACCTTACTGCAGTAACTTTCAGATGCCATTGTCGATTGCAGCTCATGACTACAATTCAACTTATACATTTCTAACAAAACATGATAGAGGGCGTTTGATGTAGCCCGTTTTCATTTGCCTGTCGATTTTGAAACACAGTTTTAAAAACAGCTCTTTCCATTGGTCATTTGACAGCTCTGGTTTTCTTTGTTCCATACGTGACAGCTATGTATGAGGGCAGCTAGATAGACATGGCTGAGTTTGGTAGCTGCCAGCTTAAAAATCACTGCCTTCGCTTAGATCATAATTCGGCTGTTAAGTTACGAAAATATATTACTCATGGAATGCCCGGCCAATTTGATCAGGTTCTTCTGCGGGAGCTCATATTTTTTTCTTTTGGGATTCCCTTTCGAGGAGTTAATCAATTTGACAGCAGACATGTTGCTCATCAGCATAAAAACGTTTTTATCTAACATGATTTTGGTTTGGTGTCATACAAATGCTGCCAACGGCTACTGCTTTTAAAGAACACGTCACTCAATTATTTTTGTAAGAGATGATACTCGGGAGTACATATTTTTTCAATATGATGACGTTATTAAAAGAACTGCCATGCAGCACAGACCAGGCGACTTTTGAATGTTTTTTCTTCACATTGATCAAAATGCACTGTTTTTCATATGATCCAAGCAGTTTAAGCGCGTTCCTAGCATCAACAATGCTTATAATAAGGCTCATAATTCATTGTAGGGGGCTTTGTAACGGATTTCCGAGGTGACAACTCCCCTTTGTGATGGCACTCAAAAGCGGCCCTCCCCCTTGTGATGGCACTCAAAAGTGGCACTTCCCTTTGGGACGCATCTAGAATGCGCTCCGACAGGTCGGACACGGCGCCTCCGAGGCGATCTTTACACCCTGAGAGCGCAGGTGTCAGTTCTATAGCCAACCGCTGCCTGACCAGCACCAGCGCGGGGCCATCATCTCTGCACTGCCCGACCAGCACAAGAGCAGAACCGTCAGCTCTGCACTGCCCGACCAGACCAGAGCGGGGCCATCAGTTCTGCGCTGCCCGACCAGCACCAGCGCGAGGCCATCAGCTCTGCACTGCCCGACTAGCACCAGAGCAGAACCATCACCTCTGCACTGCCCGACCAGCAACAGCGCGGAGCCACCAGCTCTGCACTGCCAGACTAGCACCAGCGCGAGGCCATCAGCTCTGCATTGCCCGACCAGCACCAGCGCGAGGTCATCAGCTCTGCACTGCTCGACCAGCACCGATGCAATGGCTGTCGACCCGTCTCGGTGATACTCAGTGGAGCCGGTCCGGGAGAAAACCCCGCGGAGTACCGGACCCGCTCCGACGCCGTACTGCGGAGTACCAGACCCGCTCCGATGCGGCACCGCAGCTTATCAGGGTCGCTCCGTCACGGTGCCGCGAGTACCACAGCCGCTCCGCTCCGCCACGGCATCGCGGCGTACTGAGCACGCCATCGACAGCGGTACCGCGGCGTACCGAACACTCTCTCGACAACGGTACCGCGGCGTACCGGGCATGCTCTCGGTCGCTGTACGGCGGCGCCTCTGCCTTCCAGCGCTCGATGCCGACCCAAGCCATGTCGGTGACATCTTGCTGGGGACGAAATGATATATTAATCTGGTTGGCGTCCGGCCAGGGGGGCCACAGCGGCCGGACAGTCAGCAGAAGGCGGCTCGCCGCGCTCCTCTCTCCACCGCGCTCCGCTCTGCCCTCTTCCCCTCCTCTCGCTTCCTCTCTCTGCTCCCCTCCCCCAAGCTCCGGCTATGCGCGTATCATCCACCTAGGCCGGGCGGTTCTCACGCACCAGACAGAATAGAGGGGTCGGTGAAAGATTGAGTATTGGAGAACTCGATTATTTTCTGAGTTCGATGCGCGGGGGTATGCCGCATCTACTGCTTCATATCCTTTTTTGCCAGCCATGGTCTCGTCGCGCTGCATCATTTCTCCACCTATTTTGGCTCTGGCTTGAGCCTTTGCTATGCAGCACCACATAGCGGTGTCCGTAATTACGACGCTGATTTAAGCCGCATCGTTATGACTGAAAAGAGCAAAATATGCAACATTTCTGTACGGTGCCTTTGTAGGACTCGAAGAGATTAATGTGTTCTGAAATCACGATCCTCGCCCGTTCAAGGAGAGATCAAATTAGCAAAGTTTTCCGGTGCAGCCGATCTCGTTAGCACCGGGAACGAGAGAGCCGATGGTACGCTAATTCCCAACTGTCATGCCATGGGCCATGGTGCAGCCGATCTCGTTAGCACCGGGAGCGAGAGAGCCGATGGTACGCTAATTTCCCAACTGTGATGCCATGGGCCAGTTCACATGTTTCGAATGTGGCATTGATCCGCCAATGTCATGAGTGTTTGAATGAATCTGAAGCAACGCATGTTCTGGCAGTGGATCAATTTATGACCAGAGTCGGCATCGCCTCGAACAGTCAGGCCTGAAATCAAATATTGGCGGGCGATCATTCAAACACGCGACATATTAGTTAAATTAAACCATGAACGTGAATATTTTCTGCACGTGGAATCTCATTGTGGAATTGTCTACCCAACAGGACTAACACATAGTGCAATCTGAGGTGGAAATAATTAAGGATTGGCAACGCTAGGCACTACGCCAGGAGGCCGGTAATCCTGCCAACGCAGCACGCACACTTAATTACACCCCGCGATCATGTGCAGCTTCCATTAATTCAACTCAGGCAGGCATATCTTTACAGCGGACCTGCGAACAGTTACTGCGCACCCCTTGACATAAATCATTTTTCCAATATTGTGGGAAAGTCGAGGGACACTAGCAAAACAACGCTGATATACCAGCGCTCTCAGTGACAGCGGGACAGACACGGGTCACAACCGCAGGAGCGGCGCGGGCGCAATTGTCCGTGAAACGGCCACAACATTCATCTTCCGCGGCTCGTAAAAAATCTCCGCACGATTGAAATCAGTTCTGCGCGCCGCGGCCTGTATATGAATCGATGACTGCCCCGGTGATCGGGGCCGGCGGGTGCTGGCGGCGGCTGAGGGCCCGCTGGGAGCGATCGATCGCCAGCGACGGCGGCCGCCGCCGAGGCCCAGACCACCCTGGAGCGACGCCCAGCGACAGGGCCCGGCGACGTGTCACCACGGCACCGGCCGCGCAAAGCTGGGGTGAGGGTGGTATCGGCAGCACGGCGCTGGAGTGCGGTGGTGCCGGCCGCGCGGCGCTGGGGTGCGGTGGTACCGACAGCACGGTGCTGGGGTGCGGTGGTACCGACTGCGCAGCGCTAGGGTGCAACTGCACCGAAGTCTGCATTCGACATGTTCCAAAAGTGATTCGAATATTAAAATACCTTAATCTGTAATGACATCTGTAGAATGTATCTATACAAAACATACCAACGCAGTGCCCAAATAGCAGCAGGACTCAAATCGATTGCCAGTGTTAGTCCAATCAAAAGCCAACTTTGAACGACCCTTTTTCTGTGGCAGATAGGATCGCATGGAAGTTTGGTTGATCTGGATGTTGTGTTCAATGGTCGGTCAGCCAAAAGCGTAAAGTCTCACCTGCTGACCTTTGCCAATGACCTTCCTCTTTGGCTTGGACTGCTCCCATCCACATCCAAGCTGACCGTTCATGGCATTGTGTCACAGTTATGAATTTACTTGAATATGCATTGGTCAGGTTACACGCTATCCAATTATCGGGATCATCCCGTCGATGCGAGGCATGATCTTGATACCAGTACGACGACCTTAAACACAATGGAAACCCACACATTGCTTACGGTGCCTTCCGTTAGAAGGATGAGCAGACCACAGAAGAACACGGGTACAAAAAGCGCCCCACTATCTCTAGGCATGGAGCGGGCGGCAGAGGGAGAGAGAGAGGAGAGAAGAGAGAGAGAGGAGAGAAGAGAGAGAGAAAGAGAGAGAAAGAAAGAGAGAAAGAGAAAGATAGAGAGAAAGAGAGAGAGAGAGAGAGAGAGAGAGAGAGAGAGAGAGAGAGAGAGAGAGAGAGAGAGCAGAGAGAGAGAGAGAGAGAGATAGAGAGAGAGGAGAGAGAGAGAGAGAGAGAGAGAGAGAGAGAGAGAGAGAGAGAGAGAGAGAGAGAGAGAGAGAGAGAGAGAGAGAGAGAGAGAGAGAGAGAGAGAGAGAGAGAGAGGAGAGAGAGAGAGAGAGAGAGAGAGAGAGAGAGAGAGAGAGAGAGAGAGAGAGAGAGAGAAGAGAGAGAGAGGAGAGAGAGAGAGAGAGAAGAGAGAGAGAGAGAAGGAGAGAGAGAGAGAGAGAGAGAGAGAGAGAGAGAGAGAGAGAGAGAGAGAGAGAGAGAGAGAGAGAGAGAGAGAAGAGAGAGAGAGAGAGAGAGAGAAGAGAGAGAGAGAGGAGAGAGAGAGAGAGAGAGAGAGAAGAGAGAGAGAGAGAGAGAAGAAGAGAGAGAGAGAGAGGAGAGAGAGAGAGAGAGGAGAGAGAGAGAGAGAGGAAGAGAGAGAGGAGAGAGAGAGAGAGAGAGAGAGAGAGGACGAGAGAGAGAGAAGAGAGAGGAGAGAGAGAAGAGAGAGAGAGAAGAGAGAGAGAGAGAGAGAGAGAGAGAGAGAGAGAGAGAGAGAGAGAGAGAGAGAGAGACGGAGACGGAGACGGAGGACGATGAGAAGGAGAAGGAACTTGTACTCTCTCCTTCCCTACGAATTCTATGAAGTTGGAGAAGGCCGAAAATTTGTGTCCCTTTTTTCTGCTCAGCGCATCGCAATTGTGTCGTGTGCACATTGCATCTGGCTCAAGGTCTTCGCTGTCCTGATCACGAAAGCTGGCAATATGAAATGAGCAGTGATGTAGTGACATTAAACCGAATGCTTAGCTCTTTTTGACACGCATCTGCGCCCGTCAAACATTTTGTCGTGCACATTTTACAAAGTGTTGCTTCATAACCTTTCGGCAATTTGAAAAACTGCTTTTAGACAGCAAAAAGCTACAAGATGCAACTTTAAAGCGTTTGTCTCCACAATGACTCTAAGCTACACATTTAGCGAGAAGAAACGTGCAGTTTGATGTCAGGAAGTTCATATAATGAAAACGTGTGAACTGAACTAAAGTATTTACAATGCTTGAACGTATGCTTGATCCACGACAAATGCCGTGCAAATATGTACATTTTTCACGGAAAGTACTACGTGCCATATTGCGATGCCTGATGTTTGTTTTCTCCTACGATAAACTTAGAAACAGATGACGGGCAGCCTTGCGGAATGGACCAGAAAAAGGACAGTTGGGATCTGTGTTTGTCTTTATACCCGAATGGAACATTGCATCACGCTGGCGACACTCAGACGAAAACCATGACTATCCTATACCGCACAGCATTGCTGACATTGCCAATGTCTGAGGCTTACGACATTGGCGGAGCTGATGTCTTACCTTGGCCCAATGGGGCGGATTGGCCAATGTCACCAACGACAAAAAAAAAAATGCTTTCCAGCCGTGCCAAAATCAGAATTAAATATAAACCTATCAGCTGATTCAAAAAAAGAAAGCCCATGGAAAACCATAATAAAACCTTTACCTTTATATCTTATGATGAGTGAGTAATATTTTCCAGATGATGCGTGACATAAACCACCTGTCTTGCAATTTTCCAGGAAACCAAAAATTTGCAGGAGCCTGGCGGTTTTTTTATCCAAGAAAGACTGCCCATCTTCATCAGCGGCATAAGAGCGAGCTTAGGCCGAGACCGGCCGAGTCTGAGCATTTAATCAGGTGCCGGTACGGTTTAACGACCGTGGTGCTAATGGTATTACGGCATGCCGAGCTGGGGGAGCGAGGTCGGCCTGGCTTCACTTGCGTCGCGGGGGACCGCTCCAGCTAAGGATGAACGAGCCGAAGAAGAGCCAACGTTAGCCTACTTTCCTTTAATGGGCCCTTGGTGGTCATCTTACGGGTCGTTTGCCCCTCATTTCTTTATGAAATTTGTCTGAGTCGCCCCCCAAAAGACGACTCAGTTCTGACGGGGAGGCTACCTACCCTTGGGGACGCTTCCACGTCCCTCCCCTCCGGCGCGAGACGTGTATAGGTCGTCACCACCCAACCTCATCGGCAATCCGCAGCGATAGAGCGTCCTTGACCAGTCTCTCGGCTGTCCCATCTCCGCGGCCGCTGCCGTGCCAAACCTCAGGGCCGCTGCCTCGGAGCGCTCAGGCTGTGCTGGCTAGCAGGTTGAGGACGGCCCGTCGGAGCAGGGCCGGCCGGCTGTCCGAGGACGGGCGGCCGGAACGGCGCCGGCCGGCGGTCTGAGGAAGGGCGGTCAGAGCGGCGCCAGCCGGCGGTCTGAGGACGGGCGGTCGGAGCAGCGCCAGCGGGCGGTCTTAGGACGGGCGGTCGGAGCGGCACCGGCCGGCGGTCTGAGGACAGACGGTCGGAGCGACACCGGCCGGCGGTCTGAGGACAGACGGTCGGAGCGGCGCCAGCAGGCGGTCTGAGGACGGGCGGTCGGAGCATCGCCGGCCGGTGGTCTGAGGACGGGCGGTCGGAGCAGCGCCAGCGGGCGGTCTGAGGACGGGCGGTCGGAGCGGCGCCGGCCGGTGGTTTGAGGACTGGCGGTCGGAGCGGCGCCAGCTGACGGTCTGAGGACGGGCGGTCGGAGCGGCGCCGGCCGGCGGTCTAAGGACGGGCGGTCGGAGCGGCGCCGGCCGGTCGATCTCAGACGGCTCGCCGGGGCGGCCCGTGCTCCGGTGGGCCCGGCCAGGCCTGGTATCGAGCCGGCGTCGGCCGCCGCGCGGCCCATGGAATGACGAATGCGCCCGATCTGGCAGCGGCCCCCCTGGCAGCGGCCCAAGCGGCCCAAACAAAGATGCCTCGGCCGGCGGCGGCGCGGCCGGCGTCTGGCTCGCCCTCAACAAGGTCTTCGTCGGCCGGCGACACACGCACGGCCGCCGCCCCCGCCCCCACCCCCGCCCCCAGTCCCGGCCGGCCGGCCGGCCGCGCCGCCAATGGATCGCACGATTAGATTAGCCGGTGCCGGGAGCGGCGACAGGGCGCAGCGCGACGGAGGAACGGCCGGCAATTCACGCGCCGGCGGCGGGGCCAGCCCCCGGCGCGGCGCCTCCGGGTAGGCCGACTCGGACGGTGTGGAGCCGGATGTGGAGGAGAGGCAAGTGTCACCGCCCATCCGCCCGCGGGGCCGGATGGGCGGTAACACGTTGGGAACACCGAGAGGCGCTGCTCCCTCAGATGGAAATCGACGTGTTTCCAAACACAAAAGCAAGCGGCGTTTCATATTACGTGTTAAAAGTCAGCCTCGAACGAATTCCAATCGTCGATCAAAGTGCATAGTTCTTTGGTGTCACAGCTTCTGACGCTGATTATTTTCTCTAAAATATTGTTTTCCGCACCAGAAAGTTTGATTTAACGCACAAAAGAAGAACATCTTTATTTTTGGAACTGCTGCCGATATTTTTGATGGGAATATCAACCAACACCAAGCTTTCTTACAGCAGGCTTGTAAACTTTAAGTACCTGATGCATTTCGGCTTAACTCATCAGGTATAAACGGCAGGGTGTAGAGGACAACGACCTAAGCAAATGCGTCACCCATGCTGAACACTTCTAATGCAGTTTAGGATATTCATCATAATAATCAACTATCGAACGTTATATTCGTTAGGGGGTGAAACGACAATGTTTGGTTCTCTGCGACAAAAGCATATTCTGAAGAAATTACGGGAGTGACGTAAGACGGGACATCAATTTTAAACATCCAAGCATTATTATCACCTTGCAACTACTGATACCACGCGCGAAGCCATTCGACCAGGAAAGTGCGTTGCTTCCTTGCACAAAGCACTCGTCCCCGTCCATCTCCCAAACACTGCACGTAAACACCGCATTAATGTCATGGTCATTCATCAGTGACACTGCAGCATAACGCCCAAACCGCCATGCTGTCAACAGGCGTTACACTACATATGCTGTACCCGTCGTCTGCGACACTAAGAAAGTCCGAGATTGCCAGCAGTTGTCGTATAACACATGTCTGGGATTGCTAGCATCTACAGTATGACACAGATGCCAGATATCTGGCATCAGCAACACGGTACAAACCGTGGGCGGCCGATGCGTTACCTGGAGCTCATTGATGGCCACCCAAGAGTTGGGTGGGAAACCCTGCATCATGGGTACGAGAAACTGAAGGCAGCCAGACCAGTGTCCGATGAGCAGCATCATGGAGATCAGGTTGAAGATGCGCATAAACACTGACGCCATGTTCAGGAACTGGAACGGCACAGCACGAGCGGGGCTTAGTGCGGCTGGCGGGCCGTACAGTAAGTAGCACGACATGGGGCAGGCGGCGTGCTGGAGAACAGCGTCGTATGAAGTGCTGAAACACCACCGCTATAATTAGTAAAAGACGGTTAGCGACAGGTCTGAATGGTGTTTTTCAAACCATTCGCATTAGCTTTATTCTCGATCAGGGAAGCAGTTACTGTGATATAATCTGACAGTGCGCAGACACCCTATGCTCTTATACTATATACAAGCGCACGCAAGGGTCGAGGCATCATGCCTTTTGGTGCGCGCAAATCGCACATTTTATTAGTCCAAGATGAATCAGTACATGATTTTCCGATCAAATGGATTTGCACTGTCATCCGATCTCATTTTGAGCGTTCCATGGTATAAGTCAGGGCTTGTCACTGGACGTACAACGACATTCACATTGCTTAGCTCATGCTTCCCCGAACCTATCACATGAAGAGCGACAAACGTCATATTCAATGAGAGATTCACTCAGCGCGCTGAACGTTCTTGGGTACGTTAACGATCCGTTGCAATAATCTCCGATGCACGCACGCCAACAATTTGACATGACATAGTGCTGAACGCATCGTGGAAGCATGTAGCTCCAACTGTCTGACGAATTTTAAAAAATCTTTACATTTTATTTGGAGAAGTAGACAAGACACGCAATGTCAGATTTACGGAAGTACTACTTTGCGACATTTTACAAGTATCATTGGTAATCTTCATGTTTATAATCTAGTAGCAGAGGTATGAAGAACATTGTGAATGGTGTTCAGCTTTTTATCCGAAAGCATGAATTCCTGTTCAGCATTATCCAGCATCGTACTGACTTAAGTTTTCTATTTCATTCAGTATCTTTAGATGCGACGTCGATACACTTGACCTTTCATGACATGAAGCAAGTTGTACTGCACCTGAGGTGGTACCTAAATGCAAAAATGTAGCCAACGATGCAAGGATAGCCTTTCGGTCTTCAGAAAAAACCGTATGCCCTAAATTCGGAGCGCCAGATACGGAATAAAAAGGTACGAAACGGATGCAAGTTATAAACTACGCTTAACACTCATGTGCAACGCATTTCTAACACCCAGGAGTTTTTAGGCATACAACTACCATTGATCAAGGACATACTGTGTACTTTGTGGCGCACAGGAAACATAAAAGCGGCACTAGTTTTGCGTCGCGTCACATTAGGCACCATTAGCTCAAATTCACCTGGGATCTGCAGTCCTGTAGCCCTGCATTTTGCCCCAGTCTTGGCCGTTATCGTTTTTCCAGGTCATAATTTGCGACCAAGCTAGTTGGCAGCTCACGTTGCATACATGTATTTCATTCGCCGAATCCATTACAATATGGTGAGAGGAAAACTTGATTGCACCATGAATCCCCAGATAGCATTGCAAGAGCGCAAATCATGAGCAAATGCCAAAATAATCACGTAAACAGAACACATAGGAACGAAAAAAGGAAACAAACTAACTGCTCAAATGAGGAAAACCCAACACCTTTGTCAACAGACTCCAGCTGCGGAGGAAAGCGGCGTTGAGCGGTGACGGTGGGTGTCCCAACCCCATCGGATGGCAAGTTCCCTGCTGCGCTCCGGCCCAGCGCGGCACGCTGGCGGCTGACCGGCCGGAGGTCACTGGGGTCATGCAGTGCGCCGGCAGAGCATGCGTGCCGTGCCGGTGTGGTGATCTATCTACGGACACAACAGTCCGGTGGCCGTCCAAGGTCGAGGCTAAAGGGTGACGTCGACAGCTGGGCGGTCACGCGGAGCCTCGGACGGACGCGGCAACAGCGGCGCCCGACACCCGCACACCGCGCCGCTCGGCCCCCGCTCGCCAGGCTTTAGTGGTGCAAACCAAACTGACCAAGGCTCGCGCGACACGCACCACATTGACAGCTCCTTATGTGTGGCTGAGCAACGACTCCGTCGGAGCTCAGATCAGAATTTCCACAGCTAATCGGCGCGTGATGCCTGGGTGCGACACAGAAGCTACGCTACCTCCAGACGAGGATACAACGCCAATGAAAATAACCAAAACCCAGGCCGTGCAGGTTAGAACGAGACATGCAATGAAAACGGTATTTTACCTTCACCAAAACACTGGATTTGAACTTGGCTTTACTTTTAGGAGCGTCTGCCTTCGTCTCTCGCCTTTGACGGGCCTGCTTTTGGTGCTTCTGCAATATCTACAGGTCAAAAGATGCCGGCGTAAGAACACTCAGCGGCAGCAGCACTAGGCAGCAGCGCCACGAACCCGGAACAAGGCCACGCCAGCAGGGCGGCGCCAAAGGATTTTGAGTTGGGCGAGCGGGCAGGAATTTCCAGGGGACCCCCTGGACAAAATGGGTTTCACAGCGGACTTCTGTGCAGAGTCGCATTCAGGTGGAAGAGCACCGACGGCATGTGTCCCATTATGTATCTATTACATTATCATATCCAAGTAGACAAAAAGGTCGAAAGTTTAAAAAACAAGATGAAGGCTTTCTTATTACCCAGCAAAGGGTCTTGTTATCTCAAAACAGGGCATCCTGATCCAGAACCGCTGAAAAGTGACCATGTAAGGGGTGGAGGAAGTCCTCCTGTTTCAGAAATGGGGCCTCTTGAATATCTAGAATGCCTGCTGACTCAGAATAGGGGTCTTCCAGTTTGTGACGGGGCCTCCCGAGCATCATGATCCAGCAAACGGGCCTGGTGACGTAGAAAAGGGTCTTCTGAACCCAAGTTATTGCTCTCTAGCTCGGTTATAAGGGCCACCTTGATTTGCATTTAGTACTCTTCGTTTAGCCGCAATGCCTTTAGTCTTGAAAAGGTGGCCTCCCATTTTTTGCTTGATTGTGGTGGGAGGCCAAAAACACACTCTTGACCGCGGGGCAGCTGCTCCCCCGCCCCCCCCCCCCCCCCAGCCCTTCTCTGCTGCGCCGCCTCCGCACGCAGATAAACATCAGGATTTTCGGACTCCTTCGGATAGTTCAGTTTCGATGGTAAAAAGGCGATTCTAAGACCAAATCTTATCTGGGGCTGACCTGACTTTCTCAGGAAAACATGCATACAGGATCTTTGCGTGTCAAAAACGTGCTCATCTTGTCAGTTTTTGAGTTCTCCGTTAGTGAGGACGCTTAACTTAGTGCTTTGCTGTCTTCCTCTTAGTTTCAGTCATTTATCAGGTTGGAGGCTTGAGTCGTTCACAGCCAAGATAGGCGAATTGATTTGCCATCAATTTTGGCGCATGCTAAGCGCACAGACGTGATCACTGCCAAAACAGGAATATCTGGGACAGGTGGTCCGATGCCTTACGTGTCTCAGCGAGACGCCCTTGTAAACGCTCCGATATAGGAACAGTATGACTGGTGCCCATCAACGCGAAGCGGAGGCGAATTTGACGGATGACGTCACTGGCATTAAAAGCATGTCATCCAGTATCCTTGGCAGTGTGCTTGTTCGCTGATTAGTTGATTTACGAGCAGCTGGACGGGCAGCAATATCATCACCGTATTGATCCCAAAAGTATGCCTTGGTCTTATGCACATAAACAAACCGCCGCCCTATAGTTAAGCAGTGCGGTATATCTTGGAGCTGAAAATTTAACATGCTTCATGCATGGGACATAACTGCTCATTATCTATGCAGTATACGTAAAAGAACCAATTGGTGCTTTCCACACAATCCTGGATTTTATACAATGGTGATTTGAATCCATCCAAAGTGCACTAGTGAACATTTCGAAGATGTTGGTGGCGACACTCTCTCTGTCCTTTCAATGGCACACACGCGGGGGATGGCACAAAAATCCGTGAACACCTGCATCAATCTCCCTACAAAATAAGACCGTACCGAAGTTCTTGATTTCCCACGGGCAAATAGGACCCAACGTAAGTGAGAAACGTCGGAATGCAACCAAATATAACCATTCGCTAAATGTTTAAAAGAAACCAAGGCACATAACATATTCTGAACATAAACAGCGAGCAAAGGAAAGCCAAGCACCAAGCCAGCAGTCGTCCACATGGCGGGTCATCTAATGTTTATCTATAGCCTGGCTTATTTGACGAAAACACATAGCAAACACAACGCTTTGACAGCGTCAGTGCGAGGGAACGGGAGGGGCAGGGTGGGGGCGTGAGCGGGCGCGGAAACACTGGACGTCTAGCGGCTCCTGCGGCAGGGCGTCGCGCGGCCGAGCGGCACTGCTCGGCGTCGGCCGACACTCACATAGACCTCCTCCCACTGGCTGACGTAGCGGACGAGGCGCGACAGACGCAGCAGGCGCACCAGGCTGAGCAGCTTGGCCAGTCGCAGGATGCGCAACGCCCGGCCCGCGTGCAGGATCTGGAAGCTTTCCGTGAAGTCCTGAAACGACGTGAACTGGCGCCAGGTTAGGCGCTCCGCTGGCGGCGGCTGGGCGGGCCGCGGGCGGCGCAGCGCGGCGAGAGCGGCGCAGCGGGCGCGGCCAGCGGTCAGTGGGCCCCGTCCGTCACCGGCCGACACCGCGGCAGCCATTCAAGCCGTCGAGGTGTCTCGTAACATTATTGAGATGCAGATCGAGTGCCCGGCTGGACTTGCAAATGGCCCAGTGTGGAGGGGGGGGGGGCAGTTGTGAGCGTGGAAGATAGTGCAGGCAGGGGCACCGTTCAAGGCCGGAGGTGGAGGAAGGACAGGGCGCGCGTCACGTCCCCAGGATTCGGGGTCTGTCTGCGTCTGCCATGTCAGGATGGCCTGTTACAGGGGCGTGTATGTGTTGTTGGAGCATATACACGATGCACTGTGTGCTTGTGCCACTGTTGCATTTTGCAGTCCCTTAAATGTCATATTTGCTTTGGGGTGTACGAGATTATCGCGATTTCGGCGTGCAGAGTCATATCCCCGAGCATACAGAACTGAGTGCTGTGCAGGAAATGGCATGACAGTTGAGGCCAGCACGATGAAAAGAGATAGAACACTGCAGCCATGTGGTGCTTCGTGTACCAGAAAGAGAAGAGGAAAAGCGGATGTCAGGAACCAAATGCGTGATTCGCCGTTTGTTTCTACACAAACTCGTTGCATTCAGACAAAACCAAAACCCCGCAGCAATCCCAAAACCGCCTACTTGTCTAACTCAAAACCAGATGATTTCGCGTAAACCAGCTCCTGTATCTCACAAGTGCCGAACGCAAACCCGGAACAAAAGCAGGCGGAGACAATCTGGGATTGGCCCATCCATGCGAAACACAAATACTCTACCGATGATGACAATCACCATTAACACCTATCGGAGGTCTAGCGTGGCACGAAAAGCGCTGTGCTGCCATATTCCCCAAAGACAGTTCTTATTTGACACGACGTGATGCATGCAGGCGCGCTAACCACGCATGCCAGAGAGCTCGAGCCTCGTCACTGTCCCGTCTCAGGCGGCTCCTACTTCATGCGGGGCTGGTAGGGGAGGGGCAGATAAGAGGGCGGGGTGCGATGCGGGAAGCGCTACAGGCGACTGGAGCTGAGATGACCGACCTGACCGGATTCATTGTCCGCGCGGTTCTTGTAGATCTAGGAAACAATAGAACAGACGCGTTGATGGCCTGGTCTGGAGGGGCGCAGCTGGCTATCAGCCACCGGCGCGGCCAGGGCCCCGACCACAGCCAGCCGCCAGCGACGGCTACAACACACGGCTGGCATGGCCGGATGGCAGCGACATACCGCCGGCAGACGGCGGGATGGCAGGGAAACTGGACAGGCAGACGGCAGGACGGCAGGACACCCCACGGGCAGACATCAGGGTGGCAGGGACACACGACAGACGGCCTCAGGATGGCAGGGGTACACGACAGGCAGACAGCAGGATGGCAGGGATGAACGACAGGCAGACAGCAGGAGGGCAGGGCATACAACAGGCAGGCGGCAGGATGGTAGGGACATACGACAGGCAGACGGCAGGATGGCATGGACATACGACAGGCAGACGGCAGGATGGCAGGGACATACGACAGGCAAGCGGCGGGATGGCACGAGCTTTCTTTTACGGGAAAATCCCGGGAATGCTCATTCAGCGTACGCTTATAATTCTAACTGCTGGAATTCCCTGAACAATCTGGAAAGGCAGCGTCAATTTGGGATAGGCGGGCATTTATTCTAACTGGGACTAGTGAAAATAAAGACCCACGGGTGATGGTCGAAGTCTGCTCATCAGATCGATAGTTCAGATTAAGCTTACTAGGACACGGGCCTATTAGTTGACCAAAAACATGAAGCGAAGCTTAGTTTTGATGGTTTAGTGGTCACACAGGTAGATGACGTTGCCATCTCGCCACGCGCCAATATTGGGGCTTCGGGTGGCCTCCGAACGCCTCAGGTTTGTTCACGAAAGGTCTGTGTGGATTGAGGAGTTCCGAGAATGGGGCTGGCTGGCTGTGGTCTGGACTCAGCCCGACATTTGCAGCTACGGATATATTGAGCGACGGAGATGCATGTGAATTATTCAAACTAGACAAAGTGAGAACATGGACAACAGAGCCACAGCTAAGTTTGTGTCGATACGCGGCAATGAACTGAAATGAAGCGAACACAAATCTTCCGTGGTCTAGCTTATCAGCGATTGCGAAGGGTCCAGGGTTCAACAATGTTAACGTTAGGGATCTACGAAAGGGTACAGCAACAAACTACACAGCCGAACACTGATCGTACATACATACATACCAGCAGTGAGTTCAAATATTCCCCTCACTCCCCGCAGAATCGATATTGAAATATGGCAGCGGTGGGTGCTTTTTCTCAAGTCCTTTACGTACCTGTTATGCAGTAAAATAAACCGTCGCCACCGAGGTTAACAGATGAGCAGTTTTAATGTTTTTGTTGTCAGTGTCTCCGTCCCGTAATGTGGCTTCAGGCACGGGTTGTGCCGCTTCACCGAAAACTAAATAGTAAGCTGTATGCTGACGGCGTCTTCCGGGGCCTCTGATAGGCTGTGACGAATTGCGCTCGATGACAAAGCTGTCCGTCCCTCACACGGCATCATTGCCCTTGACTCCACACCTGTTTAAACGGTCCTCGCAGCGTGACATTCAAAGAGCCCATTGAACGACTGAGCCCGCGCCGTCGCGCGCCAAAAGACGCACATCGCAAAACCACGAGCGCACCGTTTAGGCTGTCGTATAGCAAGAAGGAGTCGCGGACAGCGTTCAGCGAGTTGGCATGGGGCGCAGCAGGTCGCCGGGCGAGGTTACGGGTGACACTCAGGCGGTGTGCCACGGCCAGAGAGCCGAGGTCTACTGAATGCGTGCCTAATGCCGACTCTCCCAGTGCCTCGTCGTGGCGTTCAAAGCCTCGCTGACGACATCGCGTCTGATGCCGATGCGCTTCTGATCTCGGCCAGACTCCGCATCGCCTTCGCCTTAGCACAATAGGGATCAAACGAGGTGGCGGCACGGCTCCCGAAGTGAGGCAGGCGGCCGGGTAGTGGCTCTTCCACCGCGGGTCAGCGTGACACCACTGGTCGTCACGGGCGCCGATTCCAGAGGTGGGCGGTTCGGCCGACACTGGCCCTCACGGGCGCCGATTCCAGAGGTGGGCGGTTCGGCCGACACTGGCCCTCACGGGCGCCGATTCCAGAGGTGGGCGGTTCGGCCGACACTGACCCTCACAAGCGCCGATTCCAGAGGTGGGCGGTTCGGCCGACACTGGCCCTCACGGGCGCCCATTCCAGAGGTGGGTGGTTCGGTCAACGCGGCTCGCAGTGCTGAACAAGGTCGTTTGCCTCCACTCATGTGCAGTGCGATCTCTCTTAAGCCCAGGAGCTTCACGCGAGCAGCGGAGTTCGTGGTTTACATTTAAAGTGTTGATCTCGTAGGTAATGGCGGAAAGTTTATTTGAAATCTTTGAGAGGTATTTGCCTCAACCCAAATGTTTGCTTCCTCTGCGAACAACAAATTTAAGTCACCAAAACATGATTGGAAGTATACTTAACCAGCAAAACGCTGCTTTTTTATCCAAAATGCACCCTTCGGCCCCTTCGACTTCTGAGAAGCTGCATCTCCACTGGATGGTGCGGTAAGCAGTAGGTGCTCCAGTTCAGTCGCACGCGAAGTGAGATGCACCGTCCTGTGATCTGGTGCTGACAGCTGCCTGACTTCATTCGTCATGACAAGATGTTTTGAAGGAATGTCAGACGTTAGAAACGTTAGGGTCTAAAGAGTCGTTCCAGGCATTGGGCCATTATTATCTCTTACCAGAACCATCAAAACACCCTACCCAAGTTTCTTTTGTGGTCAACCGCAACGCACAACTCGCTGGAGGCTTCCGACCCAGTGGTTTTCAGTCTGACAAGAACACGCGCGTTTCAGTCCGGTAGGCCCACCGCCGAGCGCGTGGACCGCTGCTGAGGGCGTCGGCGTGTGGCGAGCGCCACTCGATCCGGACCTGACCCCCCCTAGCCGTAACGGGCGGGGGGGGGGTCGGGTACACCGAGTGGCAAAGAGCGCTCGGTGCGCTCTGTGGCCGGGACTTCACCCTCCCCCACCGGACGACGGGAGTGGACAGCGGGGCGGCGACGCTGGCCGCCGGGGTTCCGGCTGCAGCCGAGCAGCCCCAGGCACCCACGTGGGGCACGTCGGGTCGGTACTCAGGGGACTGTTCTTAACCCCTTGAAGCCATGATTTCAGTTGTCATTCTCTATGGCTTGGCAAAGGGAATCAAGTCATTCTTTTGTAGCGAAAGGGAAGAATGCTTGCCGCACAAGGCGCCAGAAGACGTGCATCGCAGTGAAATGGGCATATCTTCAGTTTACGACAGGCTGACTTATTTCGGTCGCATAGCAGATTCGAATGGTCAAAATTTGAGTCGTGGTCCTTTTCTGTGTAATGCGGGCAGCATCGTTCACCCAATGTTTTCGAAGTGGGTGGCATAAATAGGAAGAGACTTGGATTTCAAAATTATATCAATACTCTTGCGTTCTCTGATCCTGTCAATCTTAAAAGCACCTGACAACGTGAGTTTTGATGCCTATGAAACATCAATCTGTAACTAGAACTGACAAAATGTGCAACCAAACCACCCCGGCCGGTATAAAGTTTTTAATTAGGGCTACGTGAAGGTTTCACGAAAAATCTTTATTTTTCAATCACCCACGAATGTATTTTTGTTTTGTTATTTAGCTTGGATTGCAACCCCTTTGGCCAGTAATGTTCCTTTCAGGTTTGTGGGATAGAAAGTGGATATTGGTGGGGCAAAATTACATGCACCTGAAGGGTCCTCCACCTAGCTTAGCCCTACCAGGGACCACCTGTTCGGGATATCAGCTCTTTCCTCAGGCGGGGCACTCTTACTCAGCCTTGAAACATTTGCCCACTTGTGGCTGGCACACGTAGCCCCAAACGGACCATTGCGAAAATGCAGGAAGCAGCGAGAATGAATAAAACAGGGCGGGTGCGCAAACTGCGGGCTGGCCCATTGGCCCTCAACACGCACTCGGGTGGGGGTCAGATTGACCCCCGAGAGTTTTTCCGGCATGGCTTCCGAACGGCGCGGCGCAGCCAGGCCAATTTTGATGGCCTTAACAATTAAATAGAGGATCGCCTGGCAACAAAAATTTAAATGTACCTTATAAGGTCGCTGACCAACGGCCGGTCAAAGCCAGACCATTGTTTGAGCGAAGCCCATTACCAGGGAATCGCTCAATCTTGTGGAATAACGGAATGCTAGATGAAGCCATGCATCTCTAAGATACTTTCTTAGGCAACACAACAATTGGATGCACAAATTCTATGGACCTTGGGTGATGTATGAAGGTCAGACCAAGGTCAAAATCAACCTGTTTTTGATTGCTCTAGGGTTTGCTGTATGAGGTAGTTTTCGGTGCTCATTTCGAATTTGTTGATAACAGAAACCGCATTATGCATCTTCCATGGACTTCCTAAAGGTCAGAATAGGGCACTGACCTAAAATGACTTGGGTCAACATTCCATTTTTGGGAACATATTGCCTAGCGTAATCTTTGTCGCATACTCAAATGCTCAAGGCAGTCTTGTATGATTTTGGTAACCATGACCTTCGAAAGATCAAACAAGGTCGCTGACTTTAAATGAGCATGTGACCTTTTGCTTGGGACAGGTATCTAGATTCTAAGGACACTTCGGAGACTAACTTAAAGTTTGATCTTGTTTGACGCCAAGGTCATGACCTGGGAACCTCAAACTTTGACCTCAGTGAGTTCATGTACAGGCCAACACACTCTGTGACTTTTGTGGCTCCAGCTTTCTTGGTTCCTGAGATCCCAGCGAGATCAAATTAACCCCCACCTGAGCGTAGGGTATCCCAGCGGCCTCCCGGAAGTGTTTTAATTGACAACTTAAGGCGCCTTGTGCTAGCTCGCAGCTTTTGATTTCTGCGAAGAAAAAAATGGTGCATTAGAGTTTTGTCCACTGACATGCATGAAGTAGTGTTCTGAGCCTGAAGTTCAAAGAGTGGAAAGGGGCACGCCGCATGCCAGAAAGGCGGCCTGCCATCTGAAAAGGAAAATCACCGTCTACCCTTTCACGGACGCCGGCGCGCGGTCTGTCGTGTAGACTACAGGCGTCGGCAGGTGCCCTGCCCGCCCGGCCACAGGCGTCGGCAGGCGCCCTGTCCGCTCGGCCACAGGCGTCGGCAGGCGCCCTGTCCGCCCGGCCACAGGCGTCGGCAGGCGCCCTGTCCGCCCGGCCACAGGCGTCGGCAAGGCGCCCTGTCCGCCCGGCCACAGGCGTCGGCAGGCGCCCTGCCCGCCCGGCCACAGGCGTCGGCAGGCGCCCTGGCAGGCGGCGCCGCCGGACCGCCGCTGCTGATCGCGCGTACGTGCGCCGGCCCTAATCGAATGGGTGACTGGGATTCGGGCGGTCTCATCAATCTGGGCACGGCCGTGCTCCCCGGTCAACAAATCAAACCGATGTCCGACCCGTCGGCCGAAAACGGCACCCGGCTGGCCGCTTGGTAGCCGGTTGGCGAAGGGGGGGGGGCGAACGGGAGGGGTAAGACACGGACTGACGATCGTCACGGAGTCGTGGAGGCGCTGGTCTCAGCCGCGCCCACTGGACCCAGTCGTTGGTGAAAGAGGTACACGGTATGAATGAGGGAATGACATTTGCGGTGAAGGTCGGAGAGATGATCACTGACCGTCCAAGATTGAAACAGGTCAACTCTTACTGAACAGTCAGCCCAAACGGACGAAAATCAAGACCGTAATTTTAGTGACGCTTTCTGGAAGAAATTTTTGCTTCAAATCAACCAACAACCCACACATGCAGCCCAGTTGTGCTGAGAGGTCTTATCAATTTGTTTATAACGAGTGATTGGGCACAGGATGTAGGAGCGCTGAACAGCTAACAGATCATAATTTAGCGGTTCTTGATGAACAGGATTAGTCTTACCGCCGCCTTCGCATACATTCAGTCACTGCGTCGGCTAGCGTAGGCTAACTAAGAGTCGTGTGTCGGATTTGACTCCGATGATTTGGTGTAAACGGGCGCAGAGATAATAGCAGCCTGAGCCGATGTTCACGCGAACCCATTACTCATGTCGTATCTGTTTATGATGAAGTTTGGGGGCGACCTATATGTCGTGCTCAGATGTCGGAACTTGGATGTTCCTCACCAAAGCCGGGCTAGCGCATCAACATATTTTACCGTTAGCATATGAATATCTGTAGGAGATGGCTGCAGCTGTTTAAACTTGCGAGTCCGGAAATTCATTAGGGGCAATATAAATGCGCAAACCATAGCACAAGCCGTGGAGTTTCGCAAGCTTTGATCATTCCCCTTTCATTTTGGTTGTCTCGTGCTCTTTTGATAAGTATTTCACTACATACTTAAGTTAAGCGCTTTTGGCAAGGTGTTCTGAATACTGCGCAAAGGTCGCGGATGGAAAAATTGTTCGGACTATCGTTCTCGTCTGGTGTGTTACGACGCACACTATGAGCTAGTGTAGTGTGGACGTATGCATACACACCAGACGAGGACGGCAGTGCGAAAGTAATTTCATTCAGGAAAATAATACCCCGTCTCAATCTTTCCTTCAAAATGAGCAATAATAGAATTAAGCTTGGAGAGCATGCTAGTCGCTAGACGGAGCATGTTTTTACCAGACAGAAGCGATGAGAAGCCTTTTGACGGCCCACAATGTCATAGCACGGCTGGCCTGTGTCAGGCTAGCCATCCCTGATCAGTTACCAGCTGTTCGCTATGTGTATGATAGGGCAATGCAGATGGCTGTTTTCCCTGTGATTTGACCGATGCCCGCGAAATATCAGTGCCTCGTCCTGCTTTTGGCCACGGGGACGGCAAGCGGCCTCGTGAACGCTTTTCTGCATCAAAGGAGAGGATCACAAATCATTGAGGACATGTAACTGATGCTTTTCTAAGACGATAATCAATCTTCTGTTTTCTCTGGGTGGGGACGACCATCATGATTATCTTTGTAATTTTCTATACTGCGGGTGCAGTTTTACGCATCGCGTGCAAACAACGACACTCCATTTGCAGGAGCGCCACTTACCTGATTCACGATGAGAAAAATATAGTCGAGTGGTATGGAAGATATGAGGTCAAGGAAGAACCACGTCCGCAAATAATGCCTCGCTATTAGCGCAGGGTCTAAGATGACTTGTTCTGAATTATCTTGATGCATAATGCCTGTGGGAGAATCCGTGGTTATTCGTCAATACCGATCGAAGCGCCCCGCATCTTGAGGGAACCACATCGGAAAGCAATGTATGGAGCCGGTGAGAAGCAAACAGAAACGCTTCTCATGCCAATGCCAACACAGGTAACAATGCTTATCGGATTCATCAAGCAATATGATGAGATTCCTTTAACGGCATTTCACGCACCACAACACTTCAAATAACGACAAGACAAAACTTGAAACGTGGTTCGTAACGAAGCTTTCGAAACCCCAAGTATCCGTTTGACGATAAGGATTTACCTTGGATATGACACGGCACCAAAGCGGGGCGTTAACAACCCGTTTTTCTAAGGTTATGTGTGTGGGGGGGGGAGGGGGCGGATAGGACCAGGCCTCAGCACTTACCTGTTCTAAAGTTAACAATGATGTCGATAAGGAAGATAGTGTCCGATAGACAGTTGAACGCTATCCAGCGTGTGCTGAGGTCGTCGTTGAAGAAAGATATCGCCACAGGCAAGATGATCAGGTTGGCCACTAGTAGTAACAACATACACAGGTCCCAGTAAAACCTGCGGAGCAGAACATCCAGCTTGAAGCGGTTACGCCGAGTCGATGGATTTGCAAACAAGAACAGGCACACATACTGTCATCTTGTCACATCCGTTTGTTATGAGCTGTGGTCCTGTATGCGTGTGCAATAGACAGGAGCGCGTGATGACGAAACGTGGCGACGGCTATCAATAACCCTGTTGTGTACGCACCATACTTTATGTGACTACATGATATGTCCCTACAAGACAACAATACATATACCAAGGAACAGCACACGACTGGAAACACAGGAATGCAATCTAAAGATCAGAAATGCTGCTAACTCGGGATCGTGGAAAGTAGAATCCGCCCAAAAAAACGAGCAAAACAAGGTTTGTCAGAACGTTTCTGTCGTTTTTTTGCGTTGGTAACACCTTTCAGACTTCTGCTTTTGTTGTTTTATGTTATAGCACATTTCAGACTTATACGCACCGGCAAACAGCGAGCTTTGGTACGTTTGCAACACATGGACAGCTAATACTGTATGCCACACCCGGCTACAACACGACTAACATCAAACTGACGGCACATTAACCATACATTTGATCCAAGAACGCGTTTGTTATTAGCAGGCTGCACAGGCCTCAGAGCATTAACCAAACGAGAGCTTAATTAACTTCAGCGTTTAGCGAAGTTCGAAATTCATAGACAGATTTCAGCCCATGCAAGCTTGATGTCTGGCACAGGGGAGAAGTAGATTAATTTTTATGCATCATCATCAAAACCTTTCAGGGGATGCTTAGTGCTTAAGAATAGTGCTGTACTGTAGCGGCCGTTTTGCGGATATCGTCCGGCATTGACGCTATGCCTGTGAAATATGCAACATCAGGCAAGCCTGAGCTCCTTCTCTCGAGGGCTATGACAATCCATGTGGTGCTGGTGCTTAGGACAAATGTTTTTGATCACCACCTTCGTGCGACGCTGGGGCGAGGCACTTTCCAAATATGACACGTAATCGAAAAGCCAAATTGAAATGCGTCGTTGAGATTAGGCGCAAAACATTGAGTACGCAGTATAGTGCAGCGCATTAGAAATACGCAATATCTGTCCGTCTACCCATGCTGCACGAAGCCATGAACGGTCCAATGCGCCAAAGCTCTGAGCGCCTGTCACCTTATCGCCGTTCAGCCCGACAGAACGGACTCGTACAGCTATGAGAGAGTACTGTGAGAGATTCTTAACATCTGGATTCGCAAGTTTTATGCGTGCAAATTGCCAGCTGAAATTGGGCTCGTTTGGAGGCGAGTGTATTGGCCATCATCTTCTGCGCTGCACAGCCTGATCTTGGATTCTGCCCCAAGACTCATGTAGCCACACCCACCCACACACGAGCGCGCGCACCATACGCGTTCGCTGCGAATGCACGTGACGCGCTCCAGCGCGCTCCAGCACATTCCAAAAGCAAACACCGTCAAAAACTCCATCCCGTCATTTCCTGCCCAGCACGGAATTCGCGGACGGAATGCTCAGCACCTCTGGAGCTCTCCGGCTAATGAGCACGTGCCGGGAGCGCCAGGCCGGAGTTTAGGGGACAGCGGCGGCGGCGGCGGCGTCGACGGCGGCGGCAAACCCATCAGCCGAGCGGAAGCCGGCCTCGCCGCCGTGCCGTGGCCGGTGTGCACGGGCCGACCTCGCCCATTAGGGGGCGCTTCGTGCTGATGGAGTGCTATGAGCCGGACCATTTGGGGTGTGGCCGGACACTGTGCCCGTCCGTGGCAGGACTGGGAGCCAGCCCGCGCCGAGCTCGCTCGGAGTCGGAACAGGGCGTGGACCCGCCACACCCAGCCGAGGTGGCAGCGACACGGCGCTCAGAACACGGTGGAGGCACATGTCCGTCAGCACACGGTGGAGGGACA